TCCCAAGTAACAAGTGATAGGACAAGAGGTTTAGGCTGGAAATTGCGCTGGGCGGAGGGGGGGGGCTTAGATTGGATATCAGGAAACATTTCTTCACTGAAAGGGTTGTCAAGCATTGGAACAGGCTGCTGCCCAGGGAAGGGGTGGAGTCACCATCCCTGGAGGTATCTAAAAGACATGTAGATGTGGTGCCTAGGGACATGGTTTTGTGGTGGACTTGGCAGTGGTGGGTTAACAGTTGGATACAATGATGTTAAAGGTCTTTGCCAAGGTAAACGATTCTATGATTTTATACGTTTTATATTTTCCACCTTAAGCTATGGTTCTCATGCAGCTTCGGAGAACAAGGGAATTGTGATGTGATTGCTCAGTGACTCTGGGAATGTTTCTGAAGCTGTACTTTTTCTCTTTGTAGCCTGTGAAGGACAGTGATCCACACTTTCATCTTGAGCCAGACAGAGAAGGTGAGAATTTCATAGACAGGATCGTTCTGCTAGTCTGTCTAGTTTGACATCCTGGCCTTTGCTGGGATTAAGTACAAGGAGTATGCATAAAGAGCTCTGAAATTCTGTTCTTTGAGGGTGAGCGGCAGTTAGATTCTCACATACAGTCTTGTAGTTCAATTACTTGCTAACCTCAAGGATCAGAATGGTTTAGTGTTGAGTACAGTGAATAGTTTAAGTAATTGAAGATTATCTAGCACCAGGATTTGACAGATCTGTTGTAGTAAATTTTGTATATTGAAAGTTGAGGGGCAGGAGAAGCTTTTTTTTCTGTTTAAAAAACCCTGTTGTTTGGTTGTCTTTGGTTGTCCTACCAGTTCCTTCATCTGGGTGAACTGTTCAATTAACTGCATATGGCAGGAAGATTTCCAGGACCAGAAAAGTTCCATGTAAAATACAGCTAATTTATCTCCTGAGAGTCAGAAGGCTTGCGGGATTTTATCTTCAGCAGTGAACATCAGGAGGAAAAGGAAAGATCAAATTAAATTAAAATGGATTTTCATCTAGCTGAGGATCTGTGCGGAGCCAGAAGGAGTAAGAGCAGCTAACAGTTTTAATCTAGACAAGCTCGCAATAAGCAGCATGGGAAGGAGTAGCCTTCATCTTAACATTTGTTGAAAGCCATGTGCCTCCTCACATTAACAAGAAGGTTTTGCTTCCAGAACTGTGTTGACATACTGAGCATAGATGTGAGGCAAAGTGCTCTATGGCAGGCTTTCGAGCTCTCTGTTTTCTTTGGGCCAAATGGGAGAGCAGGGATGCCCTGGATCCTTGCTGCTAGAGGAGCCTGGCATATGAACTACAGAAAGGAGTTAGCAGAACCTGTGTCAGAAGACAGACTGAATTGCTGGGACAGGGTGGGAAGGGAAGAACTTAGTATGCTGCAATAGGTTTTTGGTTTTATTTTCTCCCATTGAGGGAAGTGTGAGAGTTTTCCAGCTTTGCAGATGGTGGTGGGTGGGTGAGCTGCCTATTTCTGTGGGAGAAGGATATGGTCTGTTTGCTCAGGAAAGCAAACTGGCACTGTCCTTCCCCTGAATGCTTTGTCTTCTCCATACAGCCAGCTGTCTGCTATCAAGCCATCACAAAGAAGCTGAAGGTTTGTGAAGAGGTAAGGCAAATCTTGGTTTGGATGTATTTTCGTTATTGTCATGAGGACTTGCAGTTCCTCCAGAGCTGTGCACTCTATATTTTTTTTCCTCCCTTCCCCCACCCCTCTCCCTCTCAGGAAACAGGATCCACCTCCATCCAGGCAGCAGACAGTACAGCGGTCAACGGCAGTATCACGCCTACAGACAAAAAGTAAGATCTCCAACGCACTTCAGCCATTTCCCTTCCTTTTTCTTCTTCCCAGCTCATACATACAGCCATTATCCAGCTTGTCACTGAGAATAAATAAACCTAATGTTTCCCTCTAACTACAGATCTCCTCTGTCCTTGTGTGAAACTCTTGATTTGGGGGGTAGGGGGGGAGGGAGGCAGCAAAAAAACAAACAGGGAAAAACAAACAGCAGAAAAACTCAGAGTAAGGTCTGACCTGGATCCATTTGCAATTCAGGGCTTTTCTGCACTTGCCCTTTTCCTATAGGGCACACTGCAGAACATGAAGCGGCTGTATGAGACAGAAAGATAAAAGGGTTATGTTTCTGCAGTAGTGCCTGGCAGTTGACTGGGGTTATTTAATAGCTCTTCTGAGCGTGTAGAAGACAAGAGGAAGAGGGAGGCATGTTCTCCCAGCACAAGAGCTTTGCTGTGTAGCACATGAGCTTTCTGGTTTCTTCTAACGTCCCCCTTCTCCTTTCTAGAGTGAGAGAAGCCTAACTTGAGCTTCCTGTTTCACTCTCTAACCTCCGCTCTGTTCAAACTGAGTTCAGGCCACACCTTGCTGTTTGCCGTTGGGGTTGTTCTCGTGGGATGTCAGTTTTCAACTGTACTCCAGGGGAACCAAAATAACAATGAAGCTGTTCAGGTAAAACAGTCTCTCAGGAAAGTGTGGCTCAGAGGTGCTTTGGGGGAGAAAGAATGTCTCCTCTGTTTCAGAGACTTGAAGACAGGTGGGCCTTGCTTGGGCTGTTTAAGGAGCCTATAGTGACTTGCTCTGACCTGTCTAAATTAGTTTGCTCTAACAATAGGCAGTGTGGCTAGCTGGGAGAGTGCAGGTGGCTTGCAAAAGCCACAGTGCATCTGTAGCATGGCTAATTCTGAAGAATTAACTGAGGAATTGCCAGGCAGATTTCATCAGATTTTACATCAGTTGTGTAACGGAACACTTCAGAATCTCTGACTAAAACTGTGGTTTTGGTATGAAGCTAGCTGCATGATGTATGAAAGGATCCTTGCAGTAATGACTGCAAATGAATTCCTGTTGCAGGTAACTGTAGGGATAGAACTTTTTAGCACAAAGTCTTTTTCTTGAAGGGGGGGACAAAACTTGCCAGCTTTCAGTGGGGGGGTGTGAGAGAAGGCTGCTGGTATCTGGGAGTATTGTATTGTCGCTTGTGGTGACCTGTACTGGCCTATTACTTCCTTTCTTTGTGTCTGTTCAAAATCACAGATGTAGAGCAGGGACTAGCTCTTTGGTCTGTGCGTGGTGCTTAGTCTAGTAGTCCTTGCTGGGCTTTATTAGAGATTGTAATGGATCATTCAATAGTGTAAGCAAGTCATTGTACATGTGACTTAGTGTAAAAATCAGAAGATTAATTAGAGAAGCACCTGATGTTCTCTAAATTATCCCTTTATCTTCAATAAGGCAATGGCTGGTGACAGGAAGCATGAGAGCAGCAATTTTAATAAAACAAAAAAAAACCAACCCCAGACCACCCAAACATTTCGTATCTAGGTATCTTCTGAAGCAGACTATAGACTTTCTTCAGGAAATTGTTAGGGGTGCTTGGTAAGGAAAATAAATACCAGGTTGCTTTTAAAGCTCAATTTCTGCACATTCTAGCTGTGGCCACGGTGGAACATGTTTGGTTTGGTTGTGGGTTTGGGATTTTTTTTGACTGGTGACGCTCCTGGGTTTGTTCTTCATCATTTCCAAGAACATGAGAGGCTGACACCAATTGCTTTCTGTTGCATTAATGTTTATCTCTTCCCCTCAGGATAGGATTTCTGGGACTTGGCCTGATGGGAAGTGGCATTGTCTCCAACTTACTGAAGATGGGTCACACTGTCACTGTCTGGAACCGGACTGCCGAGAAGGTAGGCATGTGCTTAAGGTACAGATAATACTTTTCTAAACATGTCGTTATCACCTCTAGCTTTGGGGGGCCTGGAGTCACCAGTTGGTGGTGTCTGGGAGAAGATGTCAAAGAAGCACAAGTATACGGGTCAGAGGAGGGCCACAAAGATGGTCAGAGGGCTGGAGCACCTCTCCTATGAAGAAAAGTTGAGGGAACTGGGCTTGTTTAGCTTGGAGAAGAGAAGGCTCCAGGGAGACCTCATTGCGGCCTTCCAGTGCTTGAAAGGAGCCTATAAACAGGAAGGGGAGCGACTGTTACAGGGGTTGATAGTGACAGGACGAGGGGGAATGGTTTTAAACTAAGAGGAAATTTTTCACTCAGAGCATGGTGAGGCAGTGGAAGCCAGTAGATAGTGGACAAGATGAAGCCTGAAATTTAAATTTTCCTACCTTTCATCCCTGGGCAGCCTGCTCTTGTGGTTGGCAACCCTGCCTACAGCAGGGGGGTTGAAACTAGATGATCTTTAAGGTCCTTTTCAACCCAGGCCATTCTATGATTCTGTGATATGCTTTCTACCTTGTTCTGTTATTATTTCCTAGGTGCTTGCTGGTGGCCACTTCTGACTAGATAAAGCTGTAGTCTGTCCTAGTATGGTCACTCTTATGTGAACAGTCCCCACTCCATTGCCATTTTGTATGACGTGAGAGAGTTGCCAGAAAAATTACAACCTTGTATGTGTGTTGAGGAATGCAGTGTAAAAGTGCCTCTGGAAATGCTGCTGGAAGTAGCCAAGTCATGGAACTGGACAAAAAGACAAGGTGCTGGGGGGTTGATCCTAGGAGTGGTGTAGGATGCACTGCTTGACCACAGCTTCATCTCCACATCCATTGTGCTGTTCATGTTGCGGTAACATAAGTTTGAAAACTTACTGTGTCATAAGACCAGGATGAGAAGGGTTTTATAACTTTATTCAAAGTGAAAATGGAGCTTATATTACACTTATATTCTAGCCAGCATTATTCTTTGTAGTAGAGGAGGAAAAGTAGGCAGTTGGGGGAGTTGTGGTACTCAGATGATATTGTCGAATATTAAAGGCAAGAAGGGCATTGTGGTTACTTTGTTAAAAGGGATTAAAATATCTTTTTTTAACTGCAAAATATGGATGGTGTGAGGGGATAGGGTAAGAAGCAGCTAAGATTTTGAAACAGCAGCCCACTAAAACACATCAGTCTCAGCTGTGCCTGTACCTATTTACTGTCCAGTAACACCTTTTGCTATGTCTGTTTACCAATTTTTTCCCCTCATCTCTCCTCCAAAACCCATAACATTCAATTGCTTATTTTACCTAAGCATTTTCTTCTCCTGTGTCTGTCTTTTGAAGTTCTACACTTGTGGTTTCAAAAGATCCCCGTGTGTGGGGGGAGTGGGGAGGGCCGGGAATCAGCAAAAGACAACCCAGTTGCTGTGTAATTAATATGTCTGACTGTTTTTGAGCTGGTTCCAGCACCAGAGTTCGTTTCAGTAAAATGCTAGAGAACCTGTTTGCTCTGTACTTAGTTTTTCTTACATTTTGATTTGTGACTTTTGCAGTGTGATTTGTTCATCCAGGAGGGGGCACGACTGGGAAGAACCCCCGCTGAAGTTGTCTCCACTTGTGACATCACCTTTGCCTGTGTATCAGATCCAAAAGCAGCAAAGGATGTAAGGATTAGCTTGTATTTTTCCTCCACCAGGTAGACTACAAGATACAGTTACTGAAAGCCAGTTCTGATTCCTACTAACCATGGTAGCCTGAGTCATTGTACATGCTGGGCAGTGCAGCTATGTTGAAATAAATGTCCCGAGAAAAATCGTACTTTTTGAGAAACAATCCCTGGGAGTTAGGTTTTGGTATCCCTCTAGAAGTCTGCCCCTGTAGTGCCAGGCTCACTTGAGCTTCTGTCCTGCAGGATTGGAGTTTCTTTGCAGACACCCTATTGCTTTACCACTCTTCTGTTCCCCACAGCTGGTACTTGGTCCAAGTGGAGTGTTGCAGGGGATTCGCCCAGGGAAATGTTATGTGGATATGTCCACCGTGGATGCGGATACAGTCACAGAGTTGGCCCAGGTAATCACATTGAACTGAACTTTTAACATCTGTGATTCAGCAGCACTGCTGCAGTTCTTGTTGCTTCAGGCAGTAAGGTGTTGATAATAAAGATGCTTCTGAAGATTTTTGGGCTTCTTTTAGGAGACACTCAAGTCCCAGGCAAATAAGACAAAATAAACTGTCAAATCTTGACCAGCAAACAAAGTTGGATGAGATGTTCCCTGGTGATAACAGCAAAGCTTGTAGAATTGGCAGGGCTGTTAGCTGGCACCAATGCAAATAGCCAGCCAAATTTTGATCCCTTAAGAAATATTTATAGCCAGATAGGTATTTTGTACCAAACTGAAGGAGAAAGCACTGTCTGGATTAGTAACTGTCCTTCAATTGATAAAACACATAATCTGCTTATTTTAGATGTTCTGGTTGGGGAAAAAGAATGCCTTCATGTTTCATTCTGTAGAAATACTATCATAGAGAGGATTTCTGTAGAAGTGTTCGGATTATTTCTGGTGTAGTATCTTTGTTTTCCTCTTTAGCATCTTGATTATTATCCTTGGCCTTAAAGACGGCGTGTGTTGTTGCACAAGGAAGGGGAGCTAGTTCTGGTGTAGTTTTGAGCAGACGTATTGGTGGTGCAGTAATGTGTAACATGAATTTGAAGAATAAAGAGTCATGCATATTAGTAAACCTCTAGCTGCAGAGATCTGTCAGAGGCCTTTCATCTATGGGGAAAATGGGGAAAATACCATAACAACCAATCTGAGATTCCTGTGCCACATGTACAACTTCAGTACTGGTTCCCTGGCCATTACAGAGTGCCATGGCAAAAGCTGCTTAAAACATGCACAGTAGTGATGCATGCAGGAAGCGTTGCTGGAGTGTGAGGGCAACATTTGGTCTTGAGTGCCCTTTGGAGGATGCAGCACATCTCATGTTAGTGCTTTCCTCTCCTGTTTGTATGTCTGAGCTATTTGTTCTGCTTTAAAATTCTGTCCTTAGGAATTCTGTCTGGTTTAGGAATGCCCTAAACAATGTTCTTGCTGTGCTGCCTAGTCAGGATCAATGTGTGCTGTTCATGCACAGTTAACCCAAGATGCTCTTTTTCCAGGTGATAGTGTCCCGGGGTGGTCGCTTTTTGGAAGCACCAGTCTCAGGAAATCAGCAGCTGTCTAATGATGGGATGCTTGTGATCCTGGCGGCTGGTGACAGGGGTTTATATGAGGACTGCAGTAGCTGTTTCCAAGCAATGGGGAAGACCTCTTTTTTTCTAGGTAATTGAAATACAAAGGGCCTGATAGAAGTTTGAGTCATTGCAAGGACTGGGAATTTCAGCAAGGAGTCTGAGAGGCGTGTGTCATCTGTTTCTTGTCATCTCGGGTGGTACAGGAAACAGGCCTGCTCTTCTGGAACTTGGCCAATTTCAGAGCCTCCAGCCTAAGGTGGTTTTTTTGGGGATTTTGAATAATGGCTCATTTTGGAGGATCTTTTGCATGCTTTTTATTTTAAATCATACTTTGTTGTGATTTCTCCCTTCCTTTGAGTGCTTAGAAAATGGGTAAGTTTTCTGAAGTCTTTCGGGGGGAAGAGAGAGCTGCCAAGTGCTTGATATGAAGAGTCTAGTAGTGTTAATACTGTGTGGGATGGGGGAGCAAGGCTGCTGTGTATCTTCTGGTGGAATGCCCAATGGTATGTCTCACTCCCAGGTGAAGTAGGCAATGCTGCCAAGATGATGCTGATTGTCAACATGGTCCAGGGCAGCTTCATGGCAACGATAGCAGAAGGACTCACTTTGGCTCAAGTGACTGGCCAGTCCCAACAGACCCTTCTGGATGTCCTCAATCAGGGACAACTTGCCAGCATCTTCCTGGACCAGAAGTGCCAAAGTAAAGTTCTCTTACATTGTCTTATTATAGGACATTTGCCACAACCTAGCAGCATTTCAGATAATAGCAGAAGGAAGAAAATAACCATCCCATCTTCATCAGCCTGGGATTATGGGTATTTTAAGCATTCTGGAAATGAAGAGCTGAGTTCCATTTCTTTTCCTTCATAGTGAGGTCTTCTGAGAATACACCCCAAGCTCTGCGTTGTCTAGAGCCTTCTTAGGACTTTAGCTCGCAGTGAGGATTTCACTGGGGCAGGGTAATAAGTGAAATGGAGGGCAAGCTGCTTATAAATCTGAGCCCACATTGTCAGTGGGCAATAGTGATGTTATCTGCTGTGGCCAGATGAAGATAGAGAGCAGAGAAACAGAAAAGCTAAAAGCGGTGTTTCTGGTGATCAGCATGGGAAAGGGAAGGCTGGTGTTGAATTGCATGCCCTTGCAGTATGGGCTTGGTACTTTTGTTATGCTTATTTTTTGCACACGTTCCTCTCGACAGATATCTTGCAAGGAAACTTTAAACCTGATTTCTACCTGAAATACATACAGAAGGATCTTAGATTAGCTATTGCACTGGGCGACTCTGTCAACCACCCAACTCCCATGGCAGCTGCTGCCAACGAGGTAAGAGTTGTTCTGTGTTCAGATATGTGTTATCAACATTTCTGCAGTAGAGCTGTTTGTCCACGAGAGACAAAAAATCTAAGAATTACATCATCTCTAAGACAAGGGAATAGTGATTAAAGTATATTTTGACTAGGCTGGAATTGGATTTGTTTTGATTGTAGAAGCCCTTAGAATGTCACATTAGTAAACAGAGATGGCCTCAACTAGACCTGGTGTGTTCTGGTCTGTGCTGCTCTAGTTACTTGACCTACTATGCAGTTCTCTGCTTTGGTCAGCAAAGTAATTTTTTTGCTAGGGAAAAGCTTCCTACAAAAGCAAGCACTGATCCTTTTCTAATTTTTTTTCTCTAGGTCTATAAACGAGCAAAAGCATTGGACCAATCAGACAATGACATGTCTGCAGTGTACAGGGCCTACATCCACTAGGCTGCACCGTTCTTACTGTTAATACTATGATTATTGATTAATATTATTATGATACTGGGTTTTAACTCTGGACCAGTCCATCTCTGTCTCTCCATTTCCTTTTATATGCAGACTTTGAGATCTGCCACGGAGGCAGCTGCTGCGGTGAGCCTTCCCCTGGTGGTAGAAGGGGGGGAGGAGGGGTCTCGGATTGTTGCAGTCTAATTAGAAAAATCCATGCCATGCACTGACAGTCACGGAACAGAACAGTGGCGGCTTTTTCAGAAGCTCTGAGGCAGCTCTGCCAGAAATCTGCTGCTTGGCTGCTTTTATTTTCCTCTTTGTATGCTTGTCCAAGATGCTGTTTCTAACAATCCCTTTTCTCCTTTGCTGTAAAATAATGTGTGTGTTGGACTCTGCATCAAGGGGACAGGTGACATCCCTCCCATCTACCTGTGAATATCACTAAAGTCCTTGGTCCCAAGTAAGGTGAGGAGCATTCCTGTTGATTTGCCACTGTTAGAGAACAAAGCACCTCCCATGGAGGAGAAGGGCAGTTCCAGAAGGTAATGGGGTTGTGTGCAACACTGTCTTGATTCTGTTTAATTTTCAACTTCCTCCTCCCCAGCACCCTGATGGAGGAATTCCTCATACTGTTAAGAAGAACAGAGTGCATCCATGTCTTCCCCTGTACAGAGAACTGTAGCTTAGGGAACACAAACCTTACTGAAAATGAGAGAATGCCAGTGTAAATGAGCCTTCTAAAAGGCTGATCACAGCTGCCCATCCCACAGAAGCATTGGAGATCAACGTGTTTGCATAGAAAACCGCAAGAGAAAGATATAGTCTAAAACTGGGACAGAGATTTTATTTGGGGAAGGAGCAAACCGTAGGGTTGCTCCTGGCCTTAGCTTATGTTGCTTTACTTCTTGCTTTCTTTTTTTACCCTTGTAGTCCGTAATTACAAAGGTGTCTTGGATTGTAGCAGTGTCACAAGCAGAGTGATGAGGCTGAAAGGGGTGAGAAGAGTGATTGTGGAGCCAAGAGACTGAGGATCCTGAGCTCCTTTCCATGCTCTCTCTCTGGCCTGGTCATTGTATTTCTTAGCCTGTCTGCCCATCTTTAAAGGAGGGTGATGATTACCTACCTCACAGGAATATTTTGTGTACTGATGAGTGATCTTCATACATGTCAGATTTTCCCTATGTGTTCTTAGTGTTACTACTCTGGGTGCAACACTAGCACAGCATGAGACTTTTCCCTGTAGCTGTGACTCTGCTTGTGGCCAGATACCAACTTCTAGAGAGACTAGTAAATAAAATGGGAGGCTAAGACCACTGCTGAGCTTTAGCCTAGAACCGTGGGACCTGAACTGCAGATGCCAAGGCTAGAGAGCAGAGGTGTTCTCCATATTGACAACAGAGCAACCCAGAGCCCAAAGGATGCCTGCCTTTAAAAGTGCACAGAGCGTGGCCTTTTTTTTTTTTTTTTTAATTGTTCGCAGTATTAGCCTTTTAGGAGAGTTCTTGCATTTTAGATTTGAGATTTAGTAAGAAATTTTATTGGCCAAAATCACTTCTCAGTAGCACAATCTCCTCCCTTGAGCTGGGATTCTGAAAGGAAAGAAAGCAAATTTAGATTAGACTCACTTTAAGTCCATGAGGTCTGCCCCTCCCACCATCTTATTTTTCTAGGAACTTAATGGCTGTGTGGGGAAATTTTCCTGTGGATAAGGATTTTTTAGCAATCCCGCTTTGGGCAGCAGGTGCGTATGGTTCAGGGGCACCTTATTAAGAACAACAGAAAGTATCAGATACTCATTACAAATCATGACATCTAACGCCTAATGCTGTAAATGTTACTTTGTTGAATATTTTACCTTTTGTGATCACTATTATTTGTGGGCTATTATTGTGTTATGCATTATGTCCTGTGGTGAACATCCCTAGCAATAGATCGTTAGACGTCACTTTGCCCGTTTGTATGTGGTGTATGTGAACAATACTGGTTATACATACATGTTTCTTTGGCAGTGCAACTGTCACCCTGCATGTAGATATTCATGTTAAAGGCACATATAACTACCCAGGATAACCAGCCATTAGCCTGCTTTTCACACACTTGCACTTCCCCCATCCTGAAGAGGTCCTTGGTTAAACGTGCCGCAGTTAAGAAATCACTTATATGAATTGTGCATTGAGGGCATCTGGGGGAAATTGTGTTTTTTGGGGGCATGAGATAGGACTTATATAAACTATAGGTTTTAGAGTCTTTAGAGAGGAAGAGGGAGGTAATGTCTCAGGTCCAGTTGAGAGTGAAACTGTGCTGAGCCAGTGCAGCAGCGTCCCCGACCTGTCTCTGTGGGGGTCTCGTGGGCCAGAGTCAAGGTGAATGGGTCTGAGCAAAAGTAGTGGAGGATTTCCCTCTCTTACTTTGTGGTGCCTTTGGATAGAGTGAGAATATGAAAGGAGCTCTCAAGTCCTGGGATGTGTATTTCATAGTGAATTCCAAGAGCCATATTTGTGAGAGGGAGAACCACTCCGTAGGCAACTCACTGCTGCAGGTTTTGTTTTGCAGTAATACTGTAGTTCTCAAAATGCAGCTCGTTGTTTATGTGGGAGTGGCAGGTGCAGACTAGCTAAACGCTGTAGTTTATCCTGGGAAAGTCTGACTGCAGCTTTCTAGTGAGGTAGGTGGATGCAGAGGGGCTGGAGGGCACGGTGCTGCCCAGCCAGCTGTACAATCACAGATAATGCCAGGGAGGAGCAGGAGCAGACCGAGAGCTCTGAAGTGGATGCAAAGTGAGGAGGAGGGATGGAAATGGTGAAAACCAGACTGTTTCAGATACCATTTGAAATGACTCATGTCAGTCTCACTCGAATTCTTGTATTTATGTCTGTAGCCTCTGAACATGGATCTTAATCTGTTCCTAGGCCTGAGATTTGGGGGAGGGATTGGGGGAAGCTGTGGATTGAGAGATGCTCTAATAAAACTGGCTAGTCAATGTTGTCTTAATATTGTTGACAATTCTGTAAAGTTCCTTTTTATGAGGATTTCTGTTTTAGCAAATTGCTTTTTTTGACTCCCTCCTTTTTAAAGAGAAAATGTGACACTTGTGAAAAGCTTGTAAGAAAAGCAGTTTCTTTTTTCCTCAATGATAGATCCTATAGTTAATTAAGGTTGTGAATTTTTATTTTTTGCCTTGTTTTTAATTTTTTGTCATTCAGAATAGGATGTGTGAAAATGTTTAAATGGCAAAACAAAAAGATTTTTTTTGTGCAATTAACAAAGCTACTGGCAAAAAAGAATAAAACCTCTCTTGGTAACACAATGTTCTTGTGGCAGTTTCTGAAGCATATCAAACTTGTGGCATTAAAGAAATATATGCATTCCTCAAAACTCTCCAAAATCAGAGTTGTTGGAAACCATCAGTATTCCTGAGAGCATTTTGGTTATTACAGAAGCCTGATCTTGTCAGTGAGGCACTACAAAGGATGAATTTGGATGAATTCCAGCCTCTGAAGGGAGAGGGCTGTGTGCATCTGGAGTGTGCATCTGCTTTTAAAGCAAAGAATGCTGAGAGATGGAGGTCCAAGCACTGTCTGGTGTTGATGACTTCTTGTGTTGTCTAAGCATCTGGATCTTAGTCGCCCAGTTGCTCTGTTTGGAGTGTCCTTCCTTCTAGCGTTTGGGGGTTTTTGAGCATTTGCTCTTATGACCACTGACTGATCAGCAAGGGGGGTTTCTGAGACGAGATCCCTTAACTGGACTGTTCACAAGCTGCGCAATATCACTTTTTGGTGATGCAGGTACTGTTTACAGTTGAATACCAGTAGATGTTAATGTACTGAGACAATAATGGGCTTGTACTGATTAGTTAAAATGAATTACAGGTGCTAAAGTAAGGAAAAACTCAGTTTTAGCACTGTGATTAAAAGCAATGCAGAAAGTGATGGAACAAGGCCCCGCAGTCAGAGTTGTGCTCCCAGCAGAAAGGGCAGGAGCGCAAGCTTCACCTGCTCTCTGAATTCCCTTCCAGAACCTACCTTCGAATGACAGAATCATGAAAGTTGGACAAGACCTCAAGGTTCATCAAGTCCAACTGTCAACACCACCCAACCCACTAACCCATGTCCTGCAGCGCCACATCTACACAGTTCCTGACCCCCTCCAGGGATGGTGACTCCACCCCTTCCCTGGGCAGCCTGTTCCAATGCCTCATCACTCTTGCAGTGAAGAAATTTTTTCTAATATCCAGCCTAAACCTCCCCTGGTGCAACTTGAGGCCGTTTCCTCTTGTCCCATCACTTGTTCCTTTAGAGCAGAGCCCAGCACCCCCCTCACTGCACCCTCCTTTCAGGCAGCTGTAGAGAGTGATGAGGTCTCCTCTCAGCCTCCTCTTCTCCAGACTGAACCCCCCCAGCTCCCTCAGCCGCTCCTCGTCAGGCCTGTTGATGAAGATGATGCTGTTCCCTTGCCCTCCTCTCCCCCCCAGCACACCCAATGTGGAAGGGAACCTGCCACCTTCCATGCTAAGGCTTCGCTGCCAGTATACATTTATTTCAATGTCAGAATTTTGAGAGGAAGAAACTGAGACTTCTCGTCTTTACCCCCGCTGGAAGATTCTTACACGCAGCTCAGTTTTATCGCCACGGGAGCGCAGTTAGGTGCGAGTGCGAGTGGTGCGGATCAGAAGCAGCCCGCCCGCGGCAGTACCCTGAGCCCCTGCTCTGCGGCTCTGAGCCGGGGCGGGGCGGTGAGGCTG